AAATATAATATAAAATACAATAATAAATATATAACAATTACTAATAATATAATATACTATGCTATACTAAAAATCTATTTTGTAACAATACTTACCAGATACTGTAATATGCTATTAGATAAGGAATTCTAAAAATTTGAAATAAATTTTTATCTAGTTTCTTGTTTTCATCTCTATAAATAAAGTTAATGCTTATTATAAAAAATATGCTATTACTGTTATTATTCTCACTTTGTAATAAATTTTCACTCCAATTTTCATTAAATACATCATTTATATCATTATCTTCATTATTTTCTATCTAGATATTATCCTCATTATTATTATTAAACTGAATGTCATAATACTCTTTAATTTGAACATCATCAAGAATATTTTCCTCATTTCTAATTTCTTGAAACCAAATTTGATTAAGAAGAACACAATTATCATGAGGTTTATAACCAAAAACTAACTCAAATTGTCTTTTGTTAGTAGTATGACATATAGATAAATTTATTGAATGAACTATAATTGCCAAACCAACTGTTCAATATAGATTATTATTTTTATTTTGTTGATCTTCAAGCTACTTTTCAAGTTTATTCTTTAATATAAAGTTCATCCTTTCTACTGAACCTTGAGTTTGTGGCCTTCTTGGCTTTTTATAAATAATTTTAAGACTTGGCTAAAGTTTTGTAAGACTATTAATAATTTCTGCAGTAAATTCATGTCTGTTATCACTATGTAGAAAGATCAACAGACCAAATACAGTAAAAATATCAAACAAAAATACAGTCACTTTTGCTGCACATTTATCTGTAAGAATACAGATCTAGAAAAAACATATAAAGTAATCCCTGGCATATGCTATCCATTTAAATTCATCATCTTTTCTGGTTCGTATATTTATAAAATTGATCTAATAAAAAAAATTAAGTGTTGCAAAGAGAAAAGCCTGAATTTTCAGGTTTTCTTTTTGTAGCACTTAAATAAATAAAAAAATTAGTTAAATAATAAATAAGTTTATAACATAAAATAAGGTTTAAACAATTTATAGTTCATATTACATACTTGAAATCATTGCATAAAAAACTTGTTGATAATAGATTTTATAGCTAAAGATTTGATAGATAATCTGTGCATTTTGTATGTTTTATATTTTTTAACAAATTTATCAACTAAGCACCTTTTTATATCATAATATTTATTTGATACTTGTTTGTAAATAGCTTTAGCACCTTCATGTCTAATAGCCAGATATTCTTCTGCAATAATATAATATAATCTTTTTTAAAGCAACAGATTTCCAAGTGTTTAATTTTTTTTTATGCATTAATGTTATAATACCACCAACTTTTTGATATGAATAATTATTCTTAACTTGGTAATGCATATTAGGGTTTGCAATATGAGTATCTTAAGGATTATTTAAAATTTGTAAATATTTATTAGCAATATTCTCTGAAATTAATGCTT